TAATTCATTTCAATGTATGACAAAAACCACTGCAATGTTGTAAAGTAATTAGCCTCCAACTAATAAAAATAAATGGAAAAAATAAAAATAAAAGCAGAGACATTGCTTTGCCAACAAAGGTCCGTCTAGTCAAGGCTATGGTTTTTCCAGTGGTCATGTATGGATGTGAGAGTTGGACTATAAAGAAGCTGAGCACTGAAGAATTGATGATTTTGAACTGTGGCATTGGAGAAGACTCTTGAGAGTCCATTGGACTGCAAAGGGAACCAATCAGTCCATCCTAAAGGAAATCAGTCCTGAATATTCATTGGAAGAACTGATGTTGAAGCTGAAACTTCAATACTTTGGCTACCTGATGCAAAGAACTGACTCACTGGAAAAGACCCAGATGCTGGGAAAGACCGAAGGCGGGAGGAGAAGGGGACAACAGAGGATGAGATGGTTGGATGGCATCACCGACTCAATGGACATGAGTTTTGAGTAAGCTCCAGGAGTTGATGATGGATAAGGAAGCCTGGCGTGCTGCAGTCCACAGGTTTGCAGAGTTGGACATGACTGAGCAAATGAAGCAAATTGATTCTTCATGCAGTTGTTATGAATTCACAGATTTAGAGTTTGTAATAATTTCATTTGGTAATGTATTTGTCTATAGTTTACAATGGAAAAGGGGAGCTTCCCAGGTGGCTCAGTGGTAAAGAATCTGCCTGCCAAGCAGGAGACGCGGGTTGGATCTCTCAGTCGGGAAGATCCCTTGGAGAAGGAAATGGCAATCCACTCCAGTATTCTTGCCTGGGAAATCCCATGGACAGAGGAATCTGGCAGACTACAGTCCATGGAGTCACAAAAGTACTTCTTATGGTATGATCACATATTGAGTGGAGCTCAGAATTGTTGAAGATGGCGAAGTTTTATGCATTAATTCAATGCATAAAGTGTCGCCTTTCTTCTATTTATTCATTAAATTCTATTAGGCCTAATCCTTTTCTGGTCTAGTCTCATTCCAACTGTCCCCAAATAAGCTTTGCACTTTCTCACTAAGAATGGGGATTCAAAACTATTTTCATTCTCTGCGTAATTCTTGGACGTCACTATCTCTATGGAACTGGATTAAAAACTGGTATGTGGACTTGAATTATCATTGTCTTGATGATATGTGTACTTACAGAAGGCAGCTAGCTACTCTCCATTAACAACAGGCATTGTGGCCAGAATCATGCTGAAGGACAGGAAAGTGATACTGATATTTAGGAAACATCTGAGGACCCCGAGCCCATCATGGTATGTACCAAAGATAACATACTGCTGCTTTTTAAAAAAGGTTTGATGACTTGAGTTTTCCAGTATTTCAGAGAGGCATTTCTAGGGAGACTGAATATACTTAAGCCTACTGAATAAGGAAAATGAGTATTTAAAGGATTAGCTGGAATGGTCTCCCTGCATAAAAAGGGATGATGTTTATCATGCTTCAGCATATCTAAAACTTTTTCTACCTCCTATCTTTCCTAACTAGATAAAGACATGAAAGTTTTCCAAGGGCCTAAAGTAGGAACCTCAGGATCATCATTGATTCCTAGTGAACATAACTATGCATTGCTTCTTCCTCTCCAGTCCTGCTGCCGTTTCTCTTAAGTATTAATAGGTCCACAGCGCCTCTGTGGACGCTGATCCATCCAGCTGACCCCCTGCAATAGCCTCTCTAATGGGTTCTGCTGCCTTCAATCTTCCCTTGATGTTAGTGTTTTGAGAATTCAAGTATACATTTCTTTACTCTCTCATTCTGTGCTCTCTCCTTGAACAGTCAACGTACACCTGTGGATTCAGGTCCTTGATATGATGACAATCCTGCAATTTTCACCTGTAGTCTAGATGACTGTCTTAGCCTTTAAACCTTTATGCTCACTGGTCTATGGGATATCTTTCTTTAATTGGAGGTCCCACCTCAAATTTACCCCTCATTTTGTGGTCCCTATCATCAAATCTCATGTGGATTACTGTAACAGCCCCCCTAAATGGTCTCCCTATTTCAAAACTGTCCCTCTATAATCCTCGCTACATCCTATAACTGGAGTGATTTTTCAAAAAAATGCAAATAGGAACAGGCCTCCTTCCAGCTTAAAACCCTTCAATAGCTTATTATTGCCTTTAAGATAAGCTCAAACTATTAACTAACCTACAAGGCCCCTCAAAGTTCCTTTGGAGCCTCACTGTCAGTCATTCTCTCTTTAGCTAATATTTTAGCTCCAGTTTTTTGGAATTATTTGGTCTCTGCTTTCTTGTCTGGGTCTTCATAATTTCTTTTTGCCCTCTTCCTGGAATATTCTTTTCATCTCTCCCTGCTTCCTTTGCCTAATCATCTTTAGATGCCGACCTGGATTTACTTACTGTTTTGACAGTATTTTTCTGACAATGGCTCTCCCAAGATTGAGCTTGGTGGCCTTCTGATTTGCTCTAAAAACACACACTACCCATTTAATATAGCCATTTCTTTCTAAATTCGATTTGCCTTTTCTCTTTCTCATCCACCACAGTGTACGTTTTTGAGGGCAGGGATTTTGTATACAACTGTATCACAGGTGCTTAACAAAGACTAAATCTACCCTATAGTTTGAACTCTGGTCTCTGCCCTTCTTAAAGACCTCTGACAGCTCCTACAAGCCTAGTGAGTAAACGCTCAAGTTCTTTACATGGCACACAAGGCCTTTCTCAGAATGCTAGAGTTTATCTTCCAATTTCACTTCCAGGAATTCCTGCCTGCCTCCCTCCTCTACTTTCGATTCATATTGTGCTGAACACCTCTGCACAGGTAACTCTGATGCTTTCATGCTTTTGCTTATAATTCTCCCCACTTTCTAGGGTATAGTTCCTCTGATTGTTTACTTGGAAAACTTTTTCAAAACCACCTTTAGCTCCAGTTCAGGCAGACTTAATAGTTCTCCTCTCTAGATCAACACAGAACTTTACTCTGTTTCAGCATATATCTTGCTATATTACAGTTATTTATTTTAAATAATGACTCACAGGTTAGACAGTGAGCTTTAGGAAGGTACATATAAACACATTCATGTTTAGATGCCTGCCATAGTGCCTGACATCTAGTGGGAGTCAAATGTTTATCTAATTGGATTAAAACAAAAATTAATTTTGTTTCAACTACTCTTACCAAGACTTAGGCAGAAGGCAGGTAAGGGAAGAATGGCTTATTCTACAAAATGTGAAAATGAAAATGTATAGGCTTATACATCTTTGCTTGACCTTAGGGAGAATTTGGCTTCCTTCCAATTCATCCTCTTTTTTATTTTTAAGTGCCACTTAGAGAGCTTCTACTAGCTCTTGTAAGTAAGTAAACTCTTCTGATCTACTCCCTAACGCCAATCTATCCTTAGCAAGAGCAATAAGAGCATGAAGAAAACACATAGAATGAGCTAGAAATATTTTATGAATAATGATCAACTATGAACACTGGCAAATGCAGGAGACCCAGGTTTGATGCCTGGGTTGGGAAGATACCCTGGAGAAGGGAATGGCTACCCACTCTAGTATTCTTGCCTGGGAAATCCCAAGGACAGATTTGTTAGGGTCCACAGGGTTGCAGAGTCAGATACGACTGAGCAACTAACACACACACATGAACTTTAAATGGTGAAGTCAAAGGCAGAAGTTCAGAAAGCCTTGCTTTGAATCCCAGTCCTGTGACTTTCTGACTTTGTGCAAACTGCTTATCACGCCTTGATTTTTTTTATTTGTGCAATAAGAATGATAATACTTACTTTACACTTAGGTTATTGTGAAGCTTTAGAGTTTATACATGTGAAACATTTAGAACAAAAGCATGGCATACAGTAAGCAATTACTAAGTGTTAGGTTTTATGATCTTAAATAGTGATTAATTAAATGTTCCTATATTTTAAGGTGCTTCAACACAGAATGTGAGCTCCAAGACTTTGAATATCAATATAGAGTAGCCAGACAAATAAGCATATCCTAAAGGACTTTACATTTCAGAGTTAGTACTCAGCTCTAATTATGACTTTTTTATTCAATTGCTGTACTGTGGAAAATTACTTATTTTTCTATTTTCACATTTATAAGTACATTGATCTACTCCGTAATGATGGTATGTATTAACAAATGATTTTCAAGAATCTTGAAAATACAAAACACAAAAGTGACAAAATAGTTTATAAGTACCCTATGTAATTCATTAACAATGTCACCTATTACATTAATTCCCATACTGCCTTCCAAGTGTAGCTCTAACTCCTAACTTCTTCCTAATTTTCTCAAAGGGTGTTATAAAATTAACTATATAGTTAAACTTTAGAACCTATGTTGGTTTGGGTTAGAAAACTGTCAGATTTAAATGTGGATGCCATAAAAGTGATGTAATTTTAAAAATCATTATCATCTTTTGCTAAAATAAATGTGCTTGTTGCAAATTTAAAATACTAACATACGCATTTTAAAATCTGATTTTATGTTATATAATGATATTGATAAAAATCTCACTTAAAAGCCAGAAAAATTATTCTATAACAAGAGTATTTTGTTATAGCCTGTAATTTTGATAAATGAATAGGTTATAATTTAGTCACAGTGTGAAAGTACAGCCAAATCTTGATTATCTTTGGTCTGTGGAGATAGGGATGGGTTACATAGTTAAAATCCATGTATTATTCTAAAACCTCATCCATTAGCCTTTTCTTCCACCAAATCTTCACCACATTAGCTTAATGGGCTAATTTGCACTTAAGCTACCTTTCTTACTTGAACAGTGAAATGGCAAAATAAATACACGAATAAAAATTGGACAACAAATAAAAACACTGGAAGGAAGGGCTAATCTGCATACTAAAACAGGTCTCTGAATAATCAAGAGTTGGCTGCACAGTATTGTGTTTACTTTAAGGATTACAGTAGCCTCCTTCTCCTTTGTAGCTTTCAATAAAATTGAACAGGAGTTCCTATGCCTTAACAGTCCTAGTCAGAGTTGCTCTGAGTACCTGAAAGAACCCTGGTGGTACAGGGCCTACTGGCATGCCATCTCCTGGGGGAATGTTTCCTAGCACTGGACTGGGAGCTGCTGCAGCACTCTGCAAAGGATAAAGGAGAAACAAACCTGTATCATTACAGAGAAGGCACAAAACCGAAGACTGCCGGCGACAGACTGCAGGAAGGGGAGCTTTTCATTCCCAGGAACAAATATTGGTAACTTTTCCCACTCCAAAGGTACACTAAGATATAGTAGTTACTTTGGTATATGACTAGGTTATCTGGTTTAAACAGATTTCTTTAAAACTTTTTAAAGTCACAAACTATAATAAGATGCTATATTTGAGTGATATATAAAAGGCAATTAATAAGATAAAATGATAGAAGTTTAAATAAATGCTTTAAGGCAAAGACTTATGAAATGGCAACAACAACCAATAGGTAAATAAGTAACAAGTTTGAAAATAATGGTTGTAAGAGATGGAAAAAGGAACTCTGTTTAGATTAATTCCCTGTCTATAGGTGGCAACACTCACTTTATTCACTTTCTAATATAAATACTATAATTGGTAGCCAAAATAGCAAAAGTAGGGTGGTGAGGATGAAAAAGTAATTAGGAGACTGAATAAGAGAAAGGAATTAGATTTGCACAGATTAGTCTCATATAAACAGATTATAAAAAAAATCAGATTGAAAAATTCAACATCTACTTTACTTGCAAATTATTTCATGGAATCCTACAGCTTCATGAAATAGGAATATGAAAAACTTTGGGATAGGCTCTTCATAATTGATTCAAGGTTTTCGATTTAATTCTTACACAGAACAGTAATACATACAACTATTTTACAACCATGGATTTCATCCCTCAATCTGTTTAGATACATTACAAATCCTAAGAACAGTCAAGAAGGGATCAGAAATATGTTAAAGACAGATCAGTACGAATCCAACAGTTCTGTTATGAAAGTAACTCAAATCCAAGATCTAGTATATTTGTTATACTTTTCTCCCATCAGTTTATTCATTCATGCATTAATATTCCATGAGAAGATGTAATATCTAAGTATATTTGCAGCATGTATTTCCCAGTATTTAAACTGATAAGATACTAAAGTATGTTTATTCTGTAGTACTGGAAGTATTATCGATCAAGGCCAATGATTTTGGTCTTGAGGAAACCTAGATTTAAATTTCGTTATCTAAAGTGTTTACCTATGAATGCCAAAATTCTAAATTTCTGCTAAAACACATAAGTATTAAAGGAGAAATAGTATTTCTTAGATATTAAGATTAAACATCAATCTATTATCCCATTTTAAACAAAAACATGCAATTTCATTCAGTGTACATTAATTGAATACCTACCATTAGTCACAAAGTGTTGTAATTTGCATTATGTATCAACACATGTTTTTTAAAAATATTAAAGGCAAATTGCTTTCTCATTTTAACTAAACTTGTATAAAATTTTCATATACAATGTCAGAGTAAGAGAAAACCTTACCAAACATTTATCTTCTTTTACCTAAATATATATGGTTACAGGCAGATCTAGGAAGACTTGATCTACACCTTTTGACAGTCAATTACTATAATGGGGAAGTTGCTCTTAGTACTAAAAGTTAGACATAGGATGTCACTATTGTTCTAATTAACTGTAGAACAGAAACCTTTTCCTGCAATAAAAAACTTACTTAAAAGAGACAAGTTTGTAAACCACACTCGCCTATGCTTTTATAGAAACGTACACTACAACGTTGAGCAGGTTTACAAGAAAAAAGAATTTAGTGAATTGCTGCAACTGCTTAGTGCTGTACAAATATGCTATTTCTCTTGTAACTCTTGTTGCCGAGCAAGCATACTGGGGTTTAGGTGGCTCCGTGGTAAAGAATCTGCCTGCCAATGCGGAAGCCACAGGAGACAAAGGTTCAATTCCTGGGTTGGGAAGATACCCTGGAGGAGGAAATGGCAACCCACTCCAGTCTTCTTGCCTGGGAAATCCCATGGAAGGAGTACTCTGGTGGGCCTCAGTCTAGAGTGTTGCCAAGAACAGGACACGATCAGCACAGCACAGGACAGTAAGTATATTAAAAAAGCTTTTGCCTATCTAAAGGGAAAAATACCTGTTTGTATCTAAACTACAACTTAACAAGTAAAGATGTTAGGTTGTCACTGGCTCCTTTATTTTTTCTCTTTTCCAGGGGTGGGGGGTGGGAGGGTGGGGGGGGGGGGAGGGGGCGGATTACATTGTTAAAAGGTATACTAGTTTTTTCTTCAAAGTTCTTCATTGTATATGATTTGTAAGGTCTTTTTTCAGCTATTATTTTAAAATGAAACAAATGATACATATGAAGATTTAAGCAAGTTAAATCTGAAATACCTTCTGAATTTTCATTTTGTGATTTCAAAATTATTTAATAAATTCAGTCAAAATATATCTTTCCAGGACTCTCTTACAAGCTCTACAACATAATAGCTGACACACACACAAAAAAAAAATCCTTGCCTTTTTGGAATTAACATTCTAGTGAGGGGGGAAAACACAATTAGTGCTATGGAGAAAAAGAAAGCAAGAAATAAGAGAGTTCCCAGTTAAGAGGGTAAGAATTATAATTTTAAATAGAATAGTCAGAAATGAATGAATCAACCAAACAAATGGATCAAATTATGGTGACTGATTTAAATATGCTTCTTACTCTGTTGAGATCATCTTCATACATTTTAAAGATGTCTTACATATTAATATTTTACACCTATTCTTCACAGTCATAAGAATTATTAGAAAATTTTCTTTCATAATAATCACACTGTGGCCATAACAGTAGAGATATCTTGAAAATAGTTTTGTAGCCACATGATTTCTAGTACAGAGCATGATGCTTTAGTTTTCTGGTGTAATAGCAACTTCTAGACTTGGCCTAGAGACATAAATTGAAGTGAATGGAATACTAGTAATTATCCAGTTTATTTACCCAGTACAAAGCACTAGTGTAGAGCATTTCAGTCCAAACTTCACTTTGTGGATCACAGTTTTGAGCTGAATTATCCATCCATTCTTCTGGGATTTACTGACAAGGGATAATTGCTCCCTTTGTTGTATTGTGTGGACTCAAGCTTAGAGTACCATTTGGTACACCACGGTGATCAATAACGAACACTAGTCTGATAAAAAACACTAAAAAGACACATTAAATGTTACTCTGAGCATTGGAAAACAGTGTATTTTTCAAACTGCCTAAATTGCTCATTTATATACAATAGCAATATAAATAATATTAAAACATGCTTTGAAACTGTAAGCCACGGAAGAATCAGGTTTTAGGGATTAAAGCTTTATGTAGAAGGGCGAAATACCGCATTTCTTGGGTTTCATGGCTGGAATTTCTGAGACTTGTTTCAAGTTTACTTCCAACTCACAAGACTCATAACTTGAGGATCCACAGAAATTTTGTTGGTTCTAACTCATAAAATATGTATTATTCGGGGGTGGGGGGTGGGTTGTGACTGAATTACAAAAGGAGAACAAATAATTATACTAAGAGCTACTACAAAGCATTAGCTTCACTGGATTTGTGTGAATTCCCATTAGAATACCATGGAAAATCCGTTATATATAATATATCCGCAATTATTTAGGGTTGACTTTTTAAGTTCTCTCTCCTGTGAAAAAGACAGACATATAAATAACATGGTTTTAAAATATTTCTTCTAATTAAATGAATATTTTCAGAGCAAATGTAAAATATTAATTACCATTAAAATATTTTTCTTTTTACTGGTTTAATTTATATGATTTTAATACATACTTTCAGATTTGTATTTTCTAACTGCTCTTAAATTAACTTACTTTGCCACATGACTTGAATTTCAATGCTTTTTTGAAAGTGAAAATTTTACTTTTAATTTTAAAAGTATTTTCCTAAATCACTATCTTTACTTACTTTTTATAAATACAACATATTAAATTTGATATTTTCAAATGAAATAAACTATGGAACAATTATTTGCTTTCCCAAGGAAAATATTACAATGAACCTTAAAGAGTCACCACAAAATGAGTCTTCAGTTGCTATATATTTAAGTCTCCTGTTCTTGGACTTCGTGTTTTCATATCTTTCTACCTTGTAACAAGGCACAAGTCAACCTATGCTCCTTCCTCATGTATTTACTTTTCCCTTGTATATGTATCCAGCACCATTTCCTATTTTCTCTTCAATACTATTATATAACTGAATTTTAATACTATACAAGTCAACCTATGCTCCTTCCTCATGTATTTACTTTTCCCTTGTATATGTATCCAGCACCATTTTCTATTTTCTCTTCAATACTATTATATAACTGAATTTTAATACTATTTTCATTCTCTAATTCCCTATTTCTGAACATGAAGAACAGTGAGGTATGTTGTTATTTTATATTTTCCTTTTTTAACAATCTAAAATAAAAGCTAGAACAGTTCTTATTTTAACCTTAGTTATTATCACTAGTAGCCTCTGGTAGAAAAAAAAAGTTGTATGTACTGTTGTAAGAAAGTTTCAAAACAACAGGCATAAAATAAAACAGCTTAAAATTAAAACTAGGATGCAGTCGATTGTAAAACACACATTAAATAACTAACAGTTTTAGTTACTAGGGATGGTACAGAACCAGCTGCCTAGGAATAAACTGGGAATCAAGACATAAAATCTACATTTGGTAGAAAAGGAAAAAGATTTCTAGAGTATACGTAAAATTGTGAAGGTAATAACAGAAACTAAAATAGTGATATATTTCTTGGAAATTGGAAGAAATGAGTAGGAAGACACCTGGCAGAGAATTATTGGTATTTACTATTAAGACATTTGTGCTATTTTAAAGGCAGATACAAGTATTGTTCTGAGAAACAGTTAAAATGTTGATACAGTAGACTCCCTTATCCATGGGGGATAGATCCCAAGACTTTTATTGGATGCCTGAAAGTGCAGATAGTACTGAATCCTGTATATGTTTTTTCCTATACATATATACTTATGATAAAATTTAATTTATAAATTAGGCACAGTAAGAGATTAATAACAATAACTAAAAATAATACAATTATAACAATATACTGCGA